AAATCACACACATGAAGCGTTAACCTTATTAAGTTGCTTTATTTAAGTGGAATTTTAGGAGACAGAATATTCTTTGTTTTGGAGATCAACTCAAACTACATCGACCTTGTTAACCTGGCATCCGTGGGCTGCATCTAGTGGTTAGCATCCAGTGACCTGCCAGAAATAGGCACCAACTATCAATCTGTAATGTCACCAGAAACTTGGTATTTCAAATCTAGGTCTAAGCTGAAGCTCCAAATGCAGTGGCAGAGCTCCAGACACTCTGGTTTATGGGAGAGTGAGAATATGTGTCTGAAAGGATGTACTCAGGAGAGTTATACAAGAGATTCATTCACGATAAATGAAGAGACCCGATAGAAAGCACGTAGGCCAGAGGGGAAATTTGAGGACTAAAATAAATTTTGCCATAGTGGAAAGAGCAGGACCAAACCATTTTTTCTGAACATATGCCACAATTTCTAAGGGAAATTGGGAATCTTTGGGCAGAAGAAAAACATTGTATGGATTTGGTAGGAAAGTTATTAAGTCACTCTGGAGTTTTGAAAAGAACCATTCTTTAACTACTTGTTCTCCACACAAATCCATTTAGTCATTCGAGATTTCCCAATGAGAGTAGAATATATATTGACATAGGAATATACACGAAATAGTTTTCAGACTGGTCACATTCAGATTTGGAGATACATATTCTTTGCTAGAACCACATGCAAAAAAAGTTGGAAGGAGTAGCCAGTCACTTGTCCTGCACCTCCCCTACCCTCATCTCGGCTCCCTGAGCGTGTGTATCTTCTATGGGCAGTGGAGCTTCAAAGGTGGATTATCAGAGCACTTTCCTCACCTTACACGGTGGAGGCTGTTCTGTTCAGCAGTTAAAATGGGCTTTGGAGAGACCTGAGACCTTTATACATGCCCCGCCCCCCTCGCCCTCCCTAACTGTGCTGGCTAAGAAAGATAAGGTAGGAATTAAGTTTTATCAGGTAAACCAGAATCACACAGAGACAGGAATAATCCCCCACACTCTTCAGCTCTTTCCTTTCCTTTCTTCATGCTTTACTAAACCACTCTAGAGGCAACGAAAAAAAAAAAACAAGGAGCAAGAAATGAAAGGACCATGCTGAGCAAAGAGGGAGGAAACATTCAAAAACACAGGCAAAGTTAGAGGAAAACTATAAAAATTCCTCTGTTGAAAGGAGTATATCAAAATGCCGTCAAGGTCTTGGAATGAATTTCAGACAGTGTAAGTCCATCAGAGAATAAACGTTTGAATGCTTTACAGGTCAAGTCCCAGAAACTCATACTTTGATTCATACTTTGACTTGTTTGCCCTGTCTACACAGAAACCAGCATATAATTGTAGAAAAGATATTACTTAATACAAATATTAAATCACCTGCACTTTGTTTTCTAACATTTTTCTCACAATTCTTCTGATGGCATCTGTTGGAAAGACACTAAGTCTATCTCATGAGGGTAAAAGAGTTTTTAACTCATAATATCTTTCTCCATTCTGTACATTTTTGTAAGTAGATCTGCACATAGAAAAAGTAAAAGGACATAAGAACAAAGCCCTTTACAGTTGAAGCCTTATGGTAGTTTCTGAATGATTAAAAAGCAGCAGAGAGAGAACCACAGTATATTAATTATTAATTCTCTGGTATCTAAAGATCCCACTTTTTCATATGCCCGTCATACCTTCCAGTCCCCACACCTCCAAGGAGATAATGTATTACAAATTTTCTAGAATTAGCCGCTTTAAAATCTATGTCAAAACACAGAGGACAGAGTTGTATTTTCCTTCAGTGATAGAATTAACTTGCATATAGGTTCTTCTTGATTCCTAGTTCTACCTATGACATCTTTGTAATTTATCATATTCTTACAGGAGGAAGAGCACTTAATAAACCGGGCCTAAAATAGGAGTCTCCCTAGATAGATTCCTTTTAGAAAGGTATAAATAAAAATTCTACCACACGCCAACTTTTCAAAACTCTCAATAATTGTAATGAATATAAATATAAATTTATCTTATAAACATAATAGCTTTTTCTTTTTATTTATTTTTTTAATGTTTATTTATTTTGAGAGAGAGAGAGAAAGTGAGAGCACGTGCGTGCGAGTTGGGGAGGGGCAGAAAGAGATAGAGAGAGGGAGAGAGAGAATTCCAAGCAGGTTCTGGCTGTCAGCATAGAGTGCTGTGTGGGGCTTGATCTCACATGACCGTGAGATCATGACCTTAGTCAAAATCAAGAGTTGGACGCTCAACCAACTGAGTCACCCAGGAGCCCCAATTTTTCTTTTTAAATATCTCCTTATTTCTACATAGTCATTTAATGAAACTATCAACTCTTTTATTTTTTTTCAAATCTATTAATTTTAATAAGACATTGCTAATATTTCTTCCCATTCAATGTACTAAATGATACAGAAGAAGAATACCAGAAATAAAAAGTTAGGGGGGGGAAAATTGTTGGAGAACCATGAAATTAGATAATTATTTTTTTAAAAAGTGGGTCAACTGAGGGGTGTCTGGGTGGCTCAGTCATCTAAGCATCCAACTTCAGCTCAAGTCATGATCTCATAGTTTGTGAGTTTGAGCCCTGAATCAGGCGCTGTGCTGACAGCTCAGAGTCTGGAGCCTGCTTCAGATTCCGTGTCTCTCTCTTTCTCTGCCCTTCCCCCACTCATGCTCTGTCTGTCTCAAAAATAAATAAACATTAAAAAAATTTTTTTAATTAAAAAATGGGTTAACTGAAATCTTAGTGAGTACGGTTTTGCTGGAAATACGTTACTCTTATTATGAAATACTATTGATTTACTGACATCTACCCTACAGGCCATTTTAGTAACATTGAAATTATGACATCAGGCTGTTGCCGGCAATAGATATGGTAGTCCTTGATGTACTTGTTATCTACTAATATGTAAGAAGTTACCACAAAACAGTGGCTAAAATAACAAATGACAAATAACAGGCATTTTTATCTCACAGTTTCTGTGGATCAAGAATCCAAAAGTGGTTTTGCTGGGTGCCCTGGCTCAAGGCCTTTCACAAGGATGCAGTCAAGGTGATGGCCAGGGCTGCTTTCATCTCGAGGCTCGACCAGGAGAGCATCAGATTCTAAGCTCACTGATGTTGGCAGGGTTCAGTTCCTGGTTGGCCTTGCTTGCTCTGGGAGGCCTTCCATGGGGCAGAGCAACCACAGCAACTTGCTTCATCAGAACGAGCAAGCAGAAAATCCAGAAAGAGAGAATATTAGCAAAATGGAAGTCAGAAGTGACATCACATCACTACTGACATATTCTATTCTTTAGGAGCAGGTCACTAGGTTTAGTCCATGCTCCAATAGAGGAGATGGCACCAAATGTGTGAATACCAGGAGGCACAGATCTTTGGAAGACATTTGAGAGACTGCCTTCCACCCCTGCCATAGGAAATTCTTTATAACACCAGAGCTTTTTCACGCTACAGTATTTTTGGATAACCATTTCCAAAGGTTTTATTTGAATAAATTGTCTATTTTGTATTCTGAAATGTTAAAGAAAAAAAAAGGTATTTTGAAATAATTTTTTATATACATTTTAAAACAGTTGCCTACTTTTCACATATTAGTGATATATCTGAACACTTGATATATTAAAACACTTTCTTGGCTAACCAAAATTAAAGGGAGTCAGAAGGAGGAAAAATTAGATAAATAAATAAATAAATAAATAAATAAATAAATAAATAAATAAATATTAAATAAGTATATATATGTGTATGTGTGTTTGTATATATATATTTTAAATATGCTTCAGTCTTGACCTAGATAGTTATCATAGAATGTAGCTTCTTTGACACATCTATCATTCAATCTCTCCCATTTTACAAATAAATTAAGGTAAAGAACAGTTATAGTTGGACAGTAAAATTGTTTCCAAAAAAATAAGTAAATCCACAAAAAAGTCCAGTCAATTCTTTAAAATTTTTCTCTTCTCTACTGGGTCAAGCATTCTCAACCAGATATTTTTCTGTACTTATTGATGTCAAAACTTGACACCTATGTGCATTTTTCTATAGACAGAACTAATAGCATTCATGAGATTTTTATTTTTAATGTTTATTTATTTTTGAGAGAGACAGGAGTGAGTAGGGGAGGGGCAGAAGAGAAAGGGTCCAAAGCAGGCTCCACACTGACTGCAGAGAGCCCAATGCAGGACTTGAACTCAGGAAACATGCCATCATGACTTGAACTGAAGTCAGATGCTCAGCTAACTAAACTACCCAGCTATCACAAAAACATTCATGAGATTCTCAACAAAGAACCATTGCCCTAGGCAACAAAAATTTACGCACTAAATTCTCATATAGAGCCTCATGAATTTATTGGATTTATTGGATTTTTTTTAACTGTTTCATCAATGTAACTAGTGTTGGTCTCCACATTCATTCAACAAATATTTGTTGAATATCTACTAGATTTGAGCCACAATTCTAGGTAAAGGAAATATAAGTCCCATTGTTAAGGAGCTCACACTTCTGGGGCAGACGATAAACACACTAATATAGACAATATTGGATGTGATAGCTTTGTGGAAAAAATAAGCAGGATATACCTGAATCATTTGAAGCATTAATAGATATATGCAGTTCATCTTAAATCAATCTCTGATTTAAAACCTTTTACACAATAAAGTACACTCAATTCAGTACAGCAGTTATTTATTACACACTTACTAGGGGCTAGGCACTATGCTAGATGCTAGGGAGGCAGAGATGATTATTTCCTCTAGGAATCTCTCTGGGCTGGATTAGGGTTTCCCCCTTTGTGAGCATAAACTAATGTGAGCATACCTTTATTGGGTTCACCTCCAAGTCCCCATCTGTTTTAGTGTGTCTCTTTCCTTCTTGGCTTGTGAACTGTTTGAGAGCAAGACCAACCTTTCATTATTTTCTGAATCCCAAATGCTTGGGGCTTAGCAGGAGTTCAATAAATGCTTATTGACCCACACTTGAGGAGACAGGTTAACAGTGGAGGGATAGCACATACCCCAAAACTTTCTATAAATTCTGCCTTAAGCAGTAAAATATAGAGTGGCATTTTTCTCTTAGGTTCCAGGCAAAATCAGTGAGTGTCATTGATATGAGATCTGATACTGATGTGGTTTGAAGTGTTGGGTTCAGACTCTGTGTCTCCATCTATCTCTGCCTCTTCCCTCTCCCTCTCAAAATAAACATTAAAAAATTTTAAAAAAACATTAAGACAATTGGGTGTTCTCAGAGGACTGTCACTCTGCTGTCTCAAGAACTTGTCAATGGGTTTTAAGTTGCAAGGAAACTTAATTTTCCATTTGCTTCTTTCCCACATCATTGCCCCTTGAAGAATTTTGACCCTTAAATCTTTAAGGTTGTTAAGGTTGGAAGGTCACATCTTCTGTAACTTCTTGTTGAATAGGAGCAAAGAAATGTCCCTACCTTTGGGTCAACATTGGTCAGTTGGGAGTTTATATATGCAGGAGTTACAAAAGGCAGAAGCAGCTGAATCCAAGGAAGACACATGTATGGGGCTTCCTAAGTGGAAAGGATCATCTGTCAACTTGAAATTATGGCAGTGAAGGAGTCTCGGCACCAAGTGGAGAGAGCTGGGAGGAAACAACAAAGTATGATTAGAATAGCAAAAAGACAAAGAAGCCCAAATAAAAGTCCTTTGGTAGTTGACAAAAATCTTCCTCCAGTCCAGGAGTTTAACCAATCATTAGACAAAAGAGAGGAATAATTTAAAGTACTAATTTGAGTACTCGTGTCAGTTAGAAATCCAGAAATATTTTTGTGGTTACCTGAAATGTATGCAGAGCATACATTGATAGCACAAGTTCCACCTTGTGCAGCAGTTAAAACATCTAATGCCATTGTATTTTGTAAAACTGCTTTACGCATTTGTGTTACTTCAGTATTTAATAGGAAGTGCTATGTTGAATGTCACTGAGGGCTTTGACTGTGTCTTATTAAGAGCTTCCATGTGCCAAACAACATCCTCCACTCTCAAAGAGGGAACAAAGATGAATGCTAGGTGGTCATACCGATAAAACACAGAATGTATCCACCGTTGTTTTAAATTTCGGAGGTTGCTGGGTTGGTAATGGCTTTAATAATGCATCCATGAATCCAGGCAAAACCCAGAGTGTAGCAGCCTACCCAGCCTGGGGGAAGCTATGGCCACAAATGAGAGCCACATAGTCTTTGGGGCCCATTAGGAGGCAGCCATCTAATTTTGGGTCTCCTTGAACTGCAGTTAGGATATCAAAGTCCATTTGGTTTTGGAGAGCCATCTTTTGAATTTTGGGGTAACTGCATGTCAGCCTTAGTTAAAGGTGGTCACTGTATGCTTGGTTAAAGCCTCTATTTGCAATTTTCTATCAATAGAGGTAGTGCCTGGGACAAATATGGCTTAGGGATAAAACCATCAAGAAGCCCTCTTCATCAGACGTCTAGCCTTAACAATATCTTTATTATGAGGAATCACTGGCAAATGGGAGAAGACTTATTTCAGGGAATAAGGGCATCCACAAGTGTATCCCCAAGTGCATAAGGAAAGTGGGGTTGTCTCCATTATCCATTATCTTCACAACTCCATGGAGTCGTGTATGCTCTGGCTTTTAAGGAAAAATTTTGTCATTCCAGCCACACAGAATTGGCCAAGGTGCTAGTTGAGTTACACAATTGTTGGGGAATCCATCCCATTTTCCAGCTGTTCAAATAATCATCTGCTCATGGGGTCCTGTTATTATTACCACAGACTAACAAGCACAAAGGTTGTCTATACATTAGCTATTGTGGCAGTTTCTCTGAAGTTTACCACAAGTTGTCTAGCTTAGGTAAACAATAAACATTCAAAGACAATTAGAACTAGAATTTACAACCGCAAAGATGTGTTATTGAAATTTTTTGTTCTTTCTAAAATCACCCTTATTTCCAGAAGTAGCCAAATTAGGACTAATTTGTTTGAAAATCAGGTCCAATTTTTAACAAGCTTAGCCTAATTACTTACATAAGTTCAGGAAGAGTAGCGATTGGCCATATGGATCTTTTAAAATCTGCTTTGCTGGAACCTTTTATAAGGAATCCAGATTGAACTGTTACTAGCCTCTCTAGGCCAGAAGCTAAGCTAGGTACTTGCCATCAGACATGTCTGCAATACCTGTAGATTTGGGCGAATTCCTCTTCAGGAGTTCCCCAGTATATCCTGAGGTTCCTGTACCTGCCAGGAAGTCACCTTCTTTACTCACTTGGTAAGGCTGCTGGGAACTCTCTAAGCAGGGTATCATTAGACCAACATTTCCAAGGGGCTTTATGGCTCCATGTTTCATAAAGTCAACCTTAGTTCTTTAAAGTTGTTGGGTCATATCTGAGTCTATGCATGTCTTTCTCAAATATGACATTTCAGTCAAAGTCTTTGCAAAATAAACAATGTTTCCAATGATGTCCTAAGAGAGCAGATTCTTTTTGGACTTATGCAAATGACTGTGATTGCCATGGGAGAAAGAATACTCACTGAGACTTTTTTAATTTCAGAGGGTTCAGGTAGAGAGAAAAGTTAAATGCTTTAGTTGGTTCACAAATGAATATTCTATCACATTTCTGTAAGTCATAGACATCTTAAAGTTTCCTCAATACAGAAGAACATTAGAGAACCAGCAATGTCTCAAATATACAAAAACTATAATCATTTTTTTTTCAGTTCATTTAGTCCTATGTTACTAATTTTTGTTTAGTTTGAATGTGGCTTTTTAGTTCTGGAAATTCTGACCCATTCCAGTTTAGATCTTAAAGATATCGAATACCTGTATTTGTCTTAAAAGTCCTTTTGATAAATCTCCTTGAATATAAAACACATTTTGTAAGAGAATAAGAACAATTATAAATGACAAAAACTCAGAAATGGACATTGTTAAAGATCTAATATGAGAGTTCATTATGATATAATTGACAAGGAAATTCAGTTATTTGTATGACACATAACACTTCAATAATCAGAATATCAAGTGATGACCTTATACCAGAACATATTAAAACTTATGAATTTTGTATATATATAAAAGTTTTAATATATATATGTATGTATGTATGTCTAATTGAACGGTTATAGCATTTACCCAATATAACCTAAGACTTATTATTTGACAGTGCTTTTCAAGTAACTTAACATACCAAATAAAAAGACCTAATTAGTCAAAAAAAAAAAAAAAAACCAAAAAACAACTTCATCTACAAATTCACATCTTGCGGACGCTTGTTAAAAAACCTCAGAAAGTTATAAAGCAGATGCCTAAATAGGATTACAGATCATTATAAAACTTAACTATTTATTTAACCAATGTGGCAATAAGAGATCCAAAAGGCAAATATGTAGGTTATGTAGTTGTTAGCAAAACTTAGCTCCTTTAATATTGAGAAGTTTCAACTAAGTAATCAAAGGCCTGATAAAGATAAAACACAGAAACTGGTTTTACAGGAAGATACAAAAGAAAAAAACTTTGTTTACATTTTCTTATCCAGAGCAGACCAACAAGCCAAGAAAACTTCTTTTTTTTTTTTTTTTTTTTAAATAAAGAAAAGGAGAATTTCAATCTTATACCAGTGTACCTTTAAAATCCATTCATTTCAACCTTAGCCCAACCTGGCCATGCATAAAATTCCTTTCCAAAGATGTCCCTTCACAAGCCTTCTACAACTTTACTTTGCACTCAGATTTTGTCCTAAGCCATTTCCCTCCAAACAGCCAGACTCATATAGAACAAAATTACTTTCTTTTACCTTCAGCAAAAATGTATTTTCATTCCTTATATCTTCCTTACACATCTCCTACTATCTACATACAGAGTTGCTTCCCTTATTTCTGTCAGTCTTAACTCTTAGAAACCTTAGTCTGCAGTGAAAAGTAAGTAGTAACCAATCGTGAACTGTCACACTAGAATACTTTAGATGGCAAATTTATGGATATGTATAAGTACAAAGCCTGTTTTTCAACAGACTCAAGTATCCTTAGTTTCTCTGCAATGAGAGGTCAAAAGCAGGTAAACCTTTTGCTTAGTACTCCATGCTTTAGCACTTTATTTGGAAATAAGCCTAAATGGGAAAGACTTAGATGTCCAATGAGTTCAATCTAATTTATCATCCAAGTAAAACTTTAAACTTTCAGGTTACCAAAGACTTTGAAAGCTATCTTAACAATTACCCATGAAAACCTTGAGACAGAATTAACCATCATTTTAAGTCATCTTTTGGTGTCAAATTGCAACAGAGATAACACAAGCTTAATTGACATTTAGTAAACTTAGGTAGAATGAAAATTTCATACTTAATGTCAATAACTCTTAAGACATGTGTATCTTAATTAAACAGACTTAAATTAGCTTAAACACTGAATGCGTTCCACCTGTGTCCACTTAAAACTCAATTACTTTGTTCCCCCTTGTCAGTTTTTACCTGGGACACTGGTGAGGAAATCCGAAGTGGGTGGTGTTAAGTCCAGGGGATGCCCTTGGTTCCATGAAAGCAAGGGTAGGAGAAGGACTCAATGGCACTGGAGGCACAAAGGATGGTACAAGAGCCAGTTATGCAGACCACACCTAATGTGATGCATAAACAAGGTGGGCAGAAGAGGTGAGGCACTGCCAAAAGACAGAGAAAGATAGTTCCTGGTTCTAAACCTCATCAGCTTAGACAGATGAGCAGATGCCATGTTTTTTTCCCACCAAAGTGGAAATATGCAGTCCATGTTGAGCCTGAGAAAACAAGGAATTTCCCAGAAACAAAGAGAGTTTTGGCAGCTGCTTAGGAATATTCCTTAAAGACCATGCTCTGAGGTAGACTAACCACAGTTGGCTCCAACCAAAGCCATTAGCCTGGGAAATGAATGAGGGAGAAGCCCCCATATCAATGAGGAGGAGGAACAGTGAGAGAATCAGTGTCTCCTTTATTAAAGATGGCCTGTTTTTCCTCCAGCAACCTGGATTCTATTAGGAGGCCTATTTAGATAATTATAATCCAATATATTAGGAGGGAATTTACTGGCCTGATTACTGACCAAACATGTTCTGCAAAAGGCACTTAGGTCTGGGTCCTGATTTAGAGCCCTCAAGGCCTGGATCTAGGGTACCTCCATCCATTTGCCCTGTTTCTTACAGAAGAGATCTAACTGATAGATCCTACTGAGGCCATGCAGTGTTACAGGAGATTACTCTTTTTTTAAATTTTGCAATCTGAATTATTTTCAGTGGGTTAAAAGGCATTCCAAGGGAGAGTCCTTGGAAATCGAAGAAGAGAGAAAGTCCATTACCCAACCCCCGTCCCCCCGCCCTTGACTCTCAAGTGGGGTCCCATATGGGACAAACGTCACTGGAGATGTCCCTGAAATGAAAATCGCCACTGGTCACCATCCTGCAGTAAAGGCTCTGAATGTAGGAAGGATGCTAGTGTCCCTCCCCTTCCCCACTGCATCTGAGGCTACAGATGTGTATCTGGTGAATGGATTGAAATACCATGCCATACTGTGTCCAAGCATTCCCATGAATGCCATGCTGTGAAGGCCATGTTTTGCCTTGCTTGCCTTGCTGTGAAGGCCAGGCCATGAAGACCATGAAGAACCTACTGATTTTAACCCAAGGAAAACACAGGAAAAGTTTTACAAGGGGAAATTACCCAATTTTGTAGTTTAAGTAGTTAGTAGGGGAGACTGATGGAAAACAGTAAAGACAGAAATCCATCACGGTCTAAGTGACATTCTAAATAAAATATGTAGTCTTTGGGGTGCCTGGGTGGCTCAGTCGGTTGAGTGCCCGACTTCGGCTCAGGTCATGATCTCACAGTTTGTGGGTTCGAGCCTCGCATCAGGCTCTGTGCTGACCACTTGCTCAGAGCCTGGAGCCTGCTTCAGATTCTGTGTCTCCCTCTCTCTCTGCCCCTCCCCCGTTCACACTTTGTCTCACTCTGTTTCTCAAAAATAAATAAATGTAAAAAAAAATTTCAAAAACATTTTTTTTTTAAATATGTAGTCTTCACAGCCAACTTCTCGAGGAAACAGTCCGTGGTTGGAATTTAATTCAATCGGGACCAGGGACCAGTGTCTCGGGATGTGGAGGGGATCACATTAGACCAATAGGAGGAAGCCTCACATGAGAGTCTGAAGATTGGCAGACATGCTAGTCGCTTAGGTGGCTGTGGTGTGCCCAAGACAAACGACTTTGTATAAGGACAGAAATGAAGAAAGAGCATCGAGTTTCTGGGTCTTTCTACGTTTCCGACCAGGATACTAACCTCCAGCCTCCCCATAGAGTAGCCATGGGCTAGAGGATTGCAGCCTGGGCAATCAACCTGACAGCGTTCCAATAAAGACCATACTCCTTGAAGTGAAAGTAAAGGAAGAGGAAAGAAGAGAAAGTACTCACCAAGTTTGCACCGAGGCCCAGAGTCCAGATGAGAAGACTGAGTCCCTTTGTAGTTGCCAAATAATGTGGTTTGAAGTGTTGGGGTCCAGAGTTGACAGCCAAGAAAGACTTCTTGAGATGTCTTTGGTGCGAAAGGTGGCTTTATTAAAGCACGGGGACGGGTCCTGTGGGCAGAAAGAGCTGCACTTGGGTTGTGAAGAGTGATGTCAGCGTCCCAGGAAATTGAGTCTATAGGTTTCTGGAAGTTTGGCTATTGACAAAGTTGCTGTTTTCCTTGTAAATCATTAAGACAGTTGTAAACTGATAGAGACTATGGCCTGCATGACTGTGATCTCTGTCAGTTAACCACTTGTTTTTCCTCTAGCAAAGCATGGACATTAAGACAATTGGGTGTTCCTGGAGCAATGTCAGTTTCCTGTCTCAAGGACTTGTCAATGGGCTGTAAGTTGTAAGGAAACTTAATTTTCCATTTGCCTTTGTGTCCTACATCAATATGATGTAAGAAATGTATTTATCATGACCATATGCATTCTTTCCAAGAATAACTAGTTAGAAACACATTGCTATGTTTTATTAACCCCAAATCCTTCTTTATCTTGGGCCTCTCCCTGTTTCCTGACCAGAGTCTGTGCAACAGTTCCACCTATCATGATACACCTCAGCTCTTGTACTGAGATGACCAAGCCATCTGGATGTTGGAGAAAAGAGGACCATGTTATTAAAGGGATGATCGTTGCTTCTGCCTGTTTTGGTGGCAAGTGTTACAAAAAACAAACAAACAACAACAAGAACAAAAAAACACGGATTACGTTTTAAGATAATTTTACCAAAAAAAAAAGAATCAGATTCAAATGTCAAGTATTCAGGGAAATAGAGAGATAAAAATTCAAATAGAACTGAATTTCTCAAGGTCAATGTTTTCTATGCCTATATTGTATCAAAACAATTACATCATGTAGCCATTTTTCTCTGAATAAGGCCTAATATCTGCCCATGCCTAGCAAAGTGGTTCTTTTTTTTTTTAATTCTAAATTTTTCTCAAAGGCAAATGCTTTCCCACACTCAGAAATGTGTTCTTGGTCCTCTGAGTATTTGTTTTATGCCAAGTTTCAAAGTTTTAATTCTAAATTCTTTTGTTTAGTTTTTAAAGCACATAGTATAGCAAAAGGGAACATTATTTTCTTTGTGCTTGAGTGACTCACAGAGTTAATAAATATTTCCATGAATTCTTGACAAAAGTACTTTTAAACCAGGAAATAGAAGGAGAAATTCCATCAGACAATCTCATATTTTGAAAATATAACAAATATGAGGACATAGAATCAAAAGTCTGCTTCTTCTGGATCATTATGTTGGTACCATACCATATTAATAAGCTATTAATATGTTACTATTACCCAGGAGCAGTTGGATTAAGTTAATAATAAATTAACAGCCCTGTATCAGCCTGGTGGGAAATCTCTAATTGAATGGCACAGGGCTCTATCACTGTCTATATTCTTTAACACTCATCAACTTTTTTTTTTTTTAATGTTTATTTATTTTTGAGACAGAGAGAGACAGAGCATGAACGGGGGAGAAGTAGACAAAGAGAGGGAGACACAGAATCCGAAGCCAGCTCCAGGCTCTGAGTTGTCAGCATACAGCCTGATGGAGAGGCTCAAACTCATGAACCGCAGGATCATGACCTGAGCTGAAGTCACACACTTAACGGACTGAGCCACCCAGGCACCCCTCAACTTTTTTTTTTTTTTAACTATCATGTATTTATTTATTTTTAAGTAGGCTTCACGCCCAGCAGGAGGCTTGATCTCATGACCTTGAGATCAAGACCTGAGCTGAGATCAAGAGTCAGACGAGGGGTGCCTGGGTGCCTCAGTTGCTTCAGCATCTGACTCTTGGTTTGGGCTCAGGCCATGATCTTGTGATTTGTGAATTCAATCTCTGCACCAGGCTCTGCACTGATGGAGCTTCTTGGGATTCTCTCTCTCTCCCTCTCTCTCTGCCCCTCCCCTGCTTCCACTCCTCTCTCTCTCTCTCAAAATAAATAAATGAACTTAAAAAAAAAAATAAAAGCTTCTAAAAAAGAGTCAGATGATTAACCAACTGAGCCACCCAGGCATCCCAAGACCGAGAAACTTTTTAGATGGAAATTGTCATACCTTTTAAGAAAGTAATGTGATACGTGTTTTTTATAACTTTTCATTCTAATTGTAAAAATAGCTCATGATTAATACAGGTAATTTAGAAAACACAGAAGGAAATTATCCATAATGATGTGACTTTTCTTTCTCATGGGAAAATTATATTTCTTGAATAATGTAGCATGGGTCTGAAATAGTTTTATATCTGCTAGACATCTAATTGATAGGCCTAGCAACATATTAACTATATTTATGAGTGACATGGAAATTAAAAGAATAGTTAATATAGTAGAGGAGAGAACTAAGATTCAGAATCTCACCACAGGCTGGAAGAATTGGGTTGAAATGAACAAGATAAACTGTAGCAAAAGGAAGGATAAAGCTTTGGTACAGAAACAAGTGTGCAGACATAGGAAAGAGGCAATGCATCCAAATAGGAGTTCCTATGGAAAGGACCAGGCACTTGTAGTTGATGACAATTTAGTCAGTATTTTGCTATAGTCACTACAAAAAATGTGACTGCAAAAAAGTGAATGCAAGCTTATATACCACAGAATTCAGATGAAGGCAAGAGATACCTTCTATTTCACATGGTTTGGACTACATCTGGAGAATTGTTTTCATTCTAAGTGCACGTTTAAAGACAGTGTTGGTAAACCTGGAGGGAGTCTTCCCAGTTGAAATTTTTTGTTGAAATCATGTTACATAAGAAATAGTCAGAGGGACTACTGATGTTTAGATTTAA